AAAGAATACTGAAGAAATTTTTAAAAGATTGACGCCCAGGTCTATCGGCGATCAATAAACATTGATATTAATCCAAATTATCAACTTATCAGAAAAATCATAAACTTGAAACAGATCAAAGGGTTATTCAATCGAAATAAACATGCAGACAGTGTTAGGTTAAAGATCAGTATCACCCAATCAAGACTGAGATCACACAGGACAAGCTACCAGTTATATGTGGAGTAATTCGGATGCTTCACTTCTACCAGACGTTTGTGCTAATAATATCGTGTTTTAGAAGAACAATGAAAGTTCCTCAACCAGAACATTCAACTCAGAGAACGAAACTCTACCGTAATCATTCCATCTGAACTAAAAAATTTTCCCCACCTTCTCATATTTATTAAAGATTCCCATTGTGAAAATCCGAACAAAAATATTATTCTCAGTTAGATCGTCACCAACGTTTACTCTAATAAACATGAATATTTATTTAAAAATCTTAAACTAATCAAGACAATTTGAATCAATGATCACAATGAAATGAAATAGATTAGGTCAATACTACACACATAATAGGCAAAAGTACAAGTTGATAGTAGGAAGAATGGGGTGTACTGAGAATAGTAAGAGAAATAAAACACGATAACAAAAGTTTTTTGTCAATAGTTCAATAGTAAGTCAAAGGTGGATAAACAGACTTAGAACCAGCATCGAAAAACATCAAAACCATTGCGTAATGCAAAGTGTGCAAATAATTAGATAGTGAAGAATTTCAAAGAAAAGAGATAGAAAATTACCAGAAAATACAGGATGTGAAATGATAACAATAAAAACATAAAAACTTTTTTTGAAACGGTTTGTTAAGTTATAACCAGCTAAGGAAATGGATAGGGGTATCATGAATTCCTTCTGAACACAGAAATTCAGGTTGAATGTTCAGATTGCTATGGGTTCTGCTTTATATGTAAGAGATAGAAACGAACTCTATTGGAAAATGATGAAGGTATATGATAGATAGATCACTCGAATTCATCTACATTATAACAGCTATCAATCAGATATCTACTGTCAATATGTACTTTTGCCTATTATGTGTAGTAACGTAATCTATTTCATTTCATTGTGATTATTGACTCAAGTTGCCATGATTGCTTTGACATTCCCTTTAGAAATATTCACGTACATTACAGTTTATAAAGCTTGATGACGATCTCATTGAAAACATTTCATATTACCGTTTTGGAGTTACTGTTTTGCATAATAAACTTATTTAAAAGTATTTTAATGTTTTTTTATTTAAAAATTCTTTTTGATGATGCAGATTAAATTATTTTTATTGTCTCTGTTAGTTTCGTCAATAATAAACATCATCATGATAGATAATTTAAGCTGAGTATTATTCTCGATCTAGTTACCATGGTGACCATCAGCATATGACGATGATCATTTGCATGAGCAAAAAAAGTAGCTATTTGCACTTTTACTGCATTTCGATTGTGAATGTTGCCTATCCTAAGTTTTTTTTGTTTTTCTGTTTTTGTTAAAAAATTTTGTTATTTCTAAAAATTATTATATTTTTGAAATAACCTCAACAAGTGAAACTTTTTTTTCCAAAAATAAAACTTCCACATTTTATTCAACCAACTTGTTTGAATTTTGTTTAGAGTAATAATAATGAACATCATATCAACTGTTAAATTATTTTTGTGAATAATATTTTAGCGCCAAATTGTTTTTGTTTGATTAAACCATCCATTTAAATATGAATGAATGTTTGTATTAATTGCTAGTAAATATTTTAAAAAAATAATATTTGGAATCATCAGTCAGTCATTGTTAGAACACCATTAGAAACGTGGAAGCACTGGACGGCTGTTTCGTCCTGGTATGGGACTCATCAGCAGTGCGTATCCACGACTCCTGCTCCTTGCATGATTAGTACCCGGGACCTTCGGTTTTGTGCGCGAACGCCTAACTCTTATTGAAAATGTAAAATGTGCTAACTAGTGACTAGCTTCGCGAGGAAATTCTCGGAGTTCTAGTGAGAATACTTGACCAATCGAGTTCAACCCTGTCGGGTGTGTGCAGTAACTACCAAAGACAAATGGGTGAGGTCACACAAAATCCCTAAATCAATTAGAGTTAGACATTAACACCGACGGAGGCCGGCCCAGTGATCCAAAGGTAAGGCGTTTTCGCACAATACCGAAGGTCCCGGGTTCGAACCCTGTGAAGTGTAGGAATCGTGGATACGCACTTCTAATGAGTCCCATGTCAGGACGAAACGGCCGTCCAGTGCTTCCAGGTTTCTAAATGTGGTCTAAAAATGATTGATTGATGATTTCAAATGAGTAGCGATTGTCATGGATGCGCGCTGCTGTTGAGTCCTATACTAGGATGAAACGGTTTTCCATTGCTCCTATGTTTCTAATGCTAGTCTAACAATGAATAATTCATGATTTCAGTAATAACTTTAGTCTACCAGAAACTTCTGTAAACATTCAATACAGTAATTAGGAGTGATTATCCAATCAGGGATGACACATTCCTTTTTTTCAAACTTGAATTCAGTGATCAATTCATAACTTCAATTAACTATTACTTGATAAGTAGGAGATGCTGCTAGGCATTGTTACGATAAAATATAATTTTTGAATAAAATTTCGCGTTATGGCTGAAAATTACTAGGAACAATGACAAAATGTTATTTAGTTAGTATAAACAAAGGAATTCCACATAAAAATCTGAAATCTAACTCGTTCATTCATCAATTATAAATATTCAACAAACAAATTGTTTCTATCAACCTTTCAAATTTCCTTTTTAAACAAATAAATGCTAAAAATCATTATGGTATTAATTTCAATAAATTTATCCGCAGAGTTCGATTTTTAAAATTCAGAATAATTTGATTATATTAAATGTTGTGCTTTTTTTCACCAGATGTTTAAAATCAAATATGAAAAATTGTGACAATTAGATACGACATTTCGGTGAAGTAATTAGGATTGATGCCAGAAGAAATTAGAACAACGAAGATTGTTAGCAACTATTACATATATATATATATATATATATATATATATATATATATATATTTAACTCAGCCTATGGTACTTCTGAGGTTACTGCCAGTTGGGTGTGGGATTAGTGACTCTATACAAACTAGCCGAAAAACGAAAAATTTGAACCATTTAAACTCTGCTTTGTCAGTTCGAAGGTCTTCATTTATGCCTCATGATGAAAGTCAAGATTCTTTGAAAGTGACGAGGCCAATGCCTTTTGTAATAACCACAGAGTAACAATAAATATAGATACATGGACACAGTCAGGCAATATGAGAGACGAGAAAAGCAATTCAAGTTGCTGAGGAAATGAAAAGATACAAGTTTGTAGTAGTTGGAATAAGTATATATATATATATTTATATATATATATATATTTATGAACAGGAGTCAAGTCATTTGAGGAGAGAGGAAAGGGCTGAGGCGTTAATTGAATGAAGTTTGGAATCAGATTAAATGGATCTTTTGATAATAATAGAAGGTGTACACAAGTTTTAAATCACTTAAAAATAAAAACAGAAACTTTGGAACAATGAAATGGCAATTATCTAGAATTACTAACTGAAAATTCACAACAATTTGAAAAGATTTAGATGTCAAAAATCAAAATGCATAATAAGATGATTTTAGCGTACATAATAATAATAAACTTGGCTACTCAAATTCCAACTGTCATTATTACCAGTTGCTTCATTTTATATCATATCTCATCGATACATTTTATTACATATCAGCTTCAACGGAGAACTTCGTACGTAAGTACATCAGTCCAGGTTGCTATACCACATTAGCACAGAGATGCAATTGTCAATTCAAATCCAACAGTGGTAGAGATAGTAGAATTACTACTGGTAAATGAGAAGATTAGGGTTCCAAGATATTATTCAAGAAGTATTATTCAGTGAGATAAGGTTAGGAAGACAAAGGTAGAGTTGCTGACGAACATTAGGATTTGAGAGAACACAATGAATGAATGCACATAAGCCACTGCAAACGATTTTGAGCCATGTCATTGGAAGGTTTCTAACCACCGGTGACTTTCGTCTTGCGGACCCTAACCAGGTAGCCTACATTTACCAACATAACTCAGTCCATTTGTCAGTGACTTCATGGATTTGTGCCATGTTTTGGTTTGTCCGCCCCGAACTTTTTTCTAACCTACTCCTACACCACAAAACACAGCTCGTCGAGACAGTCGGTGGTTAGGCATACGTAAAACATGTCCCAACCACCTCAAATGATGAAGATTCAGTACTTCATTTATTGATCTGCCATCCTTACCCGGTACTCGTTTCCTAACGACAGCATTCCTCACTCGGTTTTCCCAGGATATGTAAGCAATGGTTCTAAGCCATCTAGTAACCTACGATTATCTTCCACTCTTACCAGCCATGATTCGCAACCATATAGGAAAACGGAGCGAAATGCTGCAAAATACATTCGACCTTCGGTTAACAAACGGATAGCCCGCCTACGCCATAAATGAAGTAAACCAGCAAAAGCCAATCGAGCCTTCTGTATCCGAGCTGAGATTTCGTCAGTCACCAGGCCATCAGCGCTGATCAGACTCCCAAGATAAGTGAAGCGGTCGACACGCCCAACTACTTCACTCCCTATTACTAGTTCAGGTGTCGATGAAACACAATCTCCTGAAGCAACATTTTGCATTTCGAGTGTGGTTGTAAGCAGCTGATTAGAAACTATGAAATGTAATGAAATCATATTGTTCTGTCTCAATCATTGTTCTAGCTTTATTTGAACTTCAAAATTTTCGTATTTTTTCACCAAAATGTTATGATACTACTAGTTATTTTTTCACTAAGTAGTTCATACTGAATTGCAATAAATTCTTATCTATTTGTGTTTTGCAATATCCAACTGAAAGAATTAAAAATCAAATTGTAAATGAGTAAAACTACTACTAACGAACTAAAAGTAAACTGAACGTACCAATGGAAAAAGTGAATTTGAAAAATTGAAAATGATTTTCTTTAAATCAATAATGCCCCTAGTACGGTTCATATTCTGGAATCGACTTCTCTAGAGGTTTTCGTGCATAGATATCACTTGTTCCAAGTGGTACTTTAGACTAATTTTAATACAAGAAAAGTAGAGTGGAATAAAAACAGTAATAAGTTGAAATAACTGACCAAGTGGTCAATGAGTTGTCACAACTAATATAATAATAATAATAAGATGATGTATGCTGTAAAATGTTATTTCATTTAAAGAATTAACCACCACAATAACAGTACATCGATATTATTTCGAAAATACATTAAGATTATAATTTAACTTACTGGACCAGAATATTTCCAAGAAAGATCTTTTGATGAATTTGATTTACGTAAAGCTCCCATGTCATTTGGATTTCTTGATCCTCTAAAATCTTGACGTTCAAGCTAGAAATAAAATTTTCAAGAACAGTTAGTTGTTAGGTTTGTCACTAGGTTTGCTTGAAATTATTATGGGTTCACCTTAGTTGATAAACTAGAACGAGACAATCAACCAGCGTCCAGTTAGGCTACTCTGATCTGCAAGCACAATGCACTCAAGCACACAACTCTCGTTTATTTATACATCATAGAAACGTCCTTGGAACAGTCACGAAAATAGCACACTAAAATACACAGCAGCCAATCACAGTCAAAGATATTCCTAATAGGGAATGAAATCTCAAGGTCAACTGATGAGCCCAAGCTTGCAAACATGCAATTCAAATTAGGGCATTTATCAAACGCGTTCTGTGGATCTAACGTCCCCAACATTAGGGAATGTATTACTTTTTTTATTTATTGATAATTGAAACACAAAATATTTCATCCTGTTAACTGAATAATTTATTCATATTACAGAAAAACGAGAAGAATTTTATCAAACAAAAAAATACAACTGATTGTTTTTTTTTAGAATCACGTGAAACATTTTCAAAAATCAAACCAAATAATCACGTATTCAAAAAAAACTATTCCTCCTAACAGCCTGTTTTATCTCTTCAATATTACAATAATTTGTAATAATTTCTATTATCTCAATAAATTATCAAGTGTGAATTATTTACAGGTGAAAAATAACAAACCAAATATATCTTTATGATTCTTCATTTTAATCGACCGTTATCCAGGCCCATTCAACATATGTTTATTATATTTTCAATTGGAGTTATGGAGATTAGTGTTTTTACACATTTGAAATCATCAATCAATCATTGTTAGGCCACCACCGTTTCGTCCTGGTATGTGACGCTTCACCCTGTCGGGTGTAGGCAGTAACTACCAAAGACAAATGGGTGAGGTCGCGCATAATCCCTAGATCAATTAGAGTTAGACATTAACACCGTTGGAGGCCGGCCCAGTGGTCCAAAGGTTAGGCGTTCGCGCACAGTACCGAAGGTCCCGGGTTCGAACCCTGCGGTCCAGGAGTTGTGGATACGCACTTCTGATTAGTCCCATACCAGGACGAAACGGCTGTCCAGTGCATCACTGATGAGTTCAAATATGTTTGTTAGTTTGCATTTAGAAAGGCCATGAACAAAACAATAAGTAACTCTTTTCCATCACATTAGGTAGATCATCGATAGAAATCGATCACTTGGAGTAATTCATCGTATACCTACTACCCTACCTATATGGTATTCGATCTGATCTCTTGCATATAGCAAAGGCTATAAGTATTCAAGCTAACAAAGCAAACCTTTGTAATTATGAGAATTCTTTTACATCCTAACCTCTTTCTGTGTTAGATTAAGAGCTTAGTTAATAATCTTACTTATGATTCTTATTTACCGCTTACTTTACTTGTGAATTTTTCTGAACAAATTTTTTTCAAATATATTCGAGTACTTCTTATTAAATGATTTTAGTCATTTTTAGCGAATTCATTTATTTTGGTTGACTGAATCTTCCCACTTTATGTCTCAGATTGATCAGTCTCTTTTTAGCATATATGCATCCTTTGTAGATTGTCAAGATGCTGTCATCAAGTAGCAGGAATTATAAACAGAGATAAATGCTGGCTTGCAACTGAATCCAGGACGTGTATTACGTCCTAATCTAAACTCGTCAGTTAGATTTACTTACATCCTAGAGTTGATGGTCACTTCCGGACTTGAATACAATGTTTTCACAATTAATAAACTTATCATCACACTATGAATTTTATCAATCTAACTCATAAAATTCCTTGATTAGTTTAATAATTTTAGATTTGTCTATAAATATTTATGTAAATTAAAATAAAACTTGATGAAGATCTAATTGAAAACAATATTGTTCATTTATACGTGTGGATTTAATTTGCAATTTGGGGAACTTCTAATAGTTTAAATTTTTAGAAATATATTTATATATTCTTAGGTTTTCAAGCTTAAAATTTAAAATAAATTTTTTTTAAAGCAAAGAGTTGTCCTATTTAAATATTGCACAAATTATTATTTCACATCACTCCCCAAAATTATTATGTATCTTGATAATTGTTTGCGAATTTTCCAAATGATGCAACATTTATTCTATTCGATATTTTTTACTACTCAAATTTTATTTCAATAGTATTTGTCATGACAAATAATAATCTTACCTCTGCTTCTAGAGTTTTAATTCTTGATTCAGCATTGTCCAATAATTTGTACAACTCTAATCGTTCATTATCTGCAAGTGCTGATCGAAATTTTTCATTTTCCTAAAGTATTTTGTAGAAAAACGATAGAATTTGAAATGAAAATAAATGTATCGTGCATACTGAGTTGTCGGCTCATTTTTTTTGTCTTGTTTTTCAAACTTTCATTCTCTCTTACATTCACTGTTCATCATATCACCCTAGCAGATAAGGTACTTTCGGACTGTATACAAACCAGTTAAAACCAAATGTTCGTATGATATATCTATTTTGATATATGACAATCTTCATTAAATTGACTTTAGTCCAAGAACCACTAAAAATGTTTACAATACCCATATATTCAAATTATGATTGTCAGTTAGTTAAGTGAAGATAGATTTCTGAAGTTCTCACGATATACCTTGATCAAAAAAGTTCAAACATATTCTAAGTGAAGCACTGGATTATCATCGCTTTACATCACGAATCGCTTCAAGCTGAAAATGTATTCAATTGGTTAACCATTTATTGAAATGAAAATATGTAGTCTTTGTGTACGATTATGTGTATAAATCTTAAGAAGATCGTCAATAAAACAAACACTTGTCCAATTCTTCCTAGTTTCTAATAATAACTTAACTAACCTTAGTCTGAGACATATGCCACGTGTACATTTATCGGTGATACTAGTTTGCTAACTTGACTTTATACACGTTAGCTGCCATCAAGTGTTTGGAGTGGTATGAGTGATTCAATAATATTTGTGACCATATCAAAAATTATTTGTTTAGTCAGAGATGGGTTTTTCAGTGAATATATATTAATAAATCATTCTATGATATAGAACAAAAAGTTGGTCAATCCTCCTTTGGCGTCAAATGAACACTTTTTGTTAGTATCGTTTATTTCAGGAGAGTAAAGAGTAAAATAACCTTGAAAAAATTTTAACGCAGATGATTCAATTCACATATCTTTGTATCATCTATTAACTTTACTACAATAATACAAATGACACATTTTTGAAACCATGAATCGATCAATGTCAGACCACCATTAGAAACCTGGAAGCACTGCAAGACGGCCGTTTCGTCCTTGTATGGGACTCTTCAGCAGTGCGCATCCACGACTCCTGCACCCCGCAGGATTCGAACCCAGGACCTTCGGTATTGTGCGCGAACGCCCTAACTGTTAGACCAACGAGCCGGTATATAAATAATCTTTTTTTCTATCTTTAATTTTCCCCCAAACTTACAATTTGATCAAGTCGTTTATTTTTCATTAATGTTTGTTCTTCTAAACGTGTTTGTTGTTCTTTCAATGCTTCAATTTCTTCATGATATTTTTGTTCAATATTTTGATGATATTCATTATTATCTTGTTGTTGTTTAGCTAAATTACGTACAGTACGATTTAATTCTGTGACTGTATGACGTAAATGTTCATTTTCATTGGATAAATTTCTTAATGCCGCTGTTGTTAATGCATTATTATCTGTAGTGACATTTTGATGATTTAATGTTGATGTATTGTTGTCATGTGATTGATCTAATAATCCATTATCTAGGGGAATTAATGGATTAACTGAATAATTTGAAAGATTTGCATTAACTGTTTGTTCTATAAATTGAAAAAAGTAAGAAAGAAGAATAATTCATAATGATGAATTGAATGTCCAAGTAGAAAAATGTTCTATTGTTTCAATGATCGATAAAATATAGAAATTTCTGAAAGTTTTATTATTTAAAAGCGAAAAAACCTGACATTTGAATCGCATTTTCATCCAACTTCGTAACCGGAAATAAATTTCTTTGACGTTGTTCCTTCTAAAAATTATGATCATATTTCAGTTATTGTTCAAACCAAGAAATAATTTCAAGGCCAGATTTGACATGTTCATCTATAAACTACTGAGTTATCTTAATCATGAACTACATAATTCAGTTCGTTTATTGATTCATCGTACTAGGTAACGAAAAGTCAGAAAAGTTTTAGCTTTTCTTCTTACTGGGATACTACACACAAACTATTTTCATTACTAAATTATCAAGTCAAACCTGGAATTCCATAAAAACAACTTAAAAACACTTTTTTTATCGCTCAGTCACCGGTGAATATTGATTATGTGGCGAGACTATAAACTATGAACGTCCATTGAACGAACTCAGGGTGACCTTGAGAAATGGTAACCAATCAGGAAGCAGTTGATGTTATGCAAGTTTGTTATCAAAAATCAGAAATTTAAAGTGGATAAACTGTCGGTCTCGGATTTCCGGAAAAGTCCTTTTGACGCTTACTTGTCATAAATACCAAAGACTTGCTAAGTTTACTGAAAGAAAGGCAACTTACCCTCTCTTTTCTCGCACTTCTGTTGGAATTTCATTTTCTAACAAATGTCTTACCGATTTCTACAATACTTCCAACTCTTTTGAAGGAGTGGTCCAACCTTATCAACTTTTTCGTGCAATAGTAGAACTAAAGAAGCTTCAGTAACATTTGCAAAGGCTTTAGTCAATGTTACTAGTGCTCTTATTACTCAGTTCGCAACAATAAGCATAATTTGTCTTAGTTTCAATCGTGATTGAGTGAAAAAGTCCCCGTTCTTGCAAATTTATTTTTGCAGCATAATTTACATAGAAATACAACATCATCGTGGTAGTCTGTACAATGCTCGACAATCATCTGGACTTCATCATTACAAACAGTGAACCTTCTCAATAATCCCGACTGTTCTAGCCGCTTTACTATGACGCCCTCATTAAAATCCGTTACTGAACTGAGTACTGTAACTTTGAAATCGTTTACTCGATCCCAACTTGTCCATCCAGATATTATAATCTCACCAGTTATGTAACTAACATAGTTAAAAGAGAACATCATGCTGACTTACTTCTTTGACGTTCAAGAAGTGTTTCCAATCGACAAATAAGTTCTTCTTGTTGTTTAACTGTTCTCTCCAATAATGGAATTCTTGAAGCTTTTTTACTAAGTTTATCTAAATCCAATGATTGAGATCTGAATTCAGCTTCAAGCTAAACACAAATGATGCACATAAAATAAACAATGTCAACATGGCATATGTCAAGCTTTAGGTGTTTGTTATTCACTTAGAAAACCAATAATATATATTCAAATTTGAGAATAGATAATCGTAAGTGTCATGTCATATAGTGACAGTTTATACTCTAAACTTGGTCAGAATGTTGACATTCTATATTGATATAGATTTGTTGAAAGTTTCAATTGAGAAAATCATACTTTTCAATTTTCTTCAACATTCCTATCAAACACGTGAAAATGTATTCTCTAGTTTAAGTATTCATGGAATATATATGCAGCATATTCTGTTATGAATCAATCTCCTTTCCCTAGTATCAATGCTGTTGGAAGTATCCATACACACTGGATGTTGTATATCTACATTCGTCTAATAAATGAACTTCCAGTAGTAGTATTTGAATACACTAATGAATAGTAATCAATGATATACTTGTCTACTTATGTTGTTATCACATTATCTCCTCCTGCTCTGAGTACCTCGATATCAAGTACCCTATGTTATATATATATAAATATATATATATATATATATTTATATATATATATATATATATACCAGGACGAAACGGCCGTCCAGTGCTTCCAGGTTTCTAATGGTGGTCTAACATTGATCGATTCATGGTTTCAAAAATTTGTAACTTAACAATCTTCACAACCCCGTAATGCAAATTACATGTGCTCACTAGTGACTAGCTTCGTGAGGAGTCTTCTCCGAGTTCTAGTGGGAAGACGTGACCAGTGAAGTTCAACCCTGTCGGGTGTAGATAGTAACTACCGAAGACTGTGTATGAGGTTGCTCAACTCCATGAATTGATCAAGTTAGACATTAACACCGTTAGATACCGGCTCAGTAGTCGAATGGTTAGGCGTTCGCCTACAATATCGAAGGTCCTGGGTTCAAATCCTGCGGAGTGCAGGAGTCTTGGATGCGCACTGCCGAAGAGTCCCATACCAGGACGAAACGGCCCTCCAGTGCTTCCATGTTTCTAATGGTGGTCTAACATTGATCAATTCATGGTTTCAAAAATGTGTAAATTAACAATCTTCACAACGCCGTAATGCATATACATATATATACTGTAAGTTCTCATTGAATCACATACAAAGATGACGAGGCAAGCAATCTAGGCCTTGTTTATGATTTTCATATTACCTGACCAATTTATGCAAGATAACATTGATTTACTGATATGTATACGAAATGCATATAACTAAGAGTAGATTACAATTATTTTTTGTATATTTAACAAATTAAAACTCAGCACTATATTAATAAGGTTTTTGATAAAATCTGTTTTTGAATTTTATGAAGATTCACACATGCAATATTCACTGTAATGTGTATTTTCAATTAACACGAACAGATATTTAAATTCATGGAATTTAATAGAGATTCATTTGATTTTGAAGACAAAAATTCGTCAGGCACTTGATCTTAGTCGGATTATGATTGAAAACCCGTATGTAAGTAAAACTTAACGAAGGTTTACATACTAGGGTGAAATCACTGGCTAATAATTACTGGATTCCAATAGCATTCTAAATGAGATCGATCTATGGAAAATAGTTATATCTTTAAAAGCAAGTCATTCTCTAATCACATATGAACTGGTAATGTCACCGGCGTCTACTTCAAGTAGAACTGAGATTTTTAGACATTTCACTAATGTTGTATAAATCTCTTACGAAAATCTCATCTATGATCGGCCGTTAACGTGGATTCTATTGAGTTCACTAAACTGTTCCTTTCATAATGACTGTTATTATCGTTTGACCTCATGACACTTCGACATAGACTTCAATATATGGAGAGGTCAATAAACAAAGATAGTCAACAGGAATCAAAAACAGAGAGTATAATCGACTTAATTAACCAACCAAAACTAGACAATTAAAAAAGTCTGGTAAAACACTTGTGAAATAATTTTTTAAAAAGACCATTTCTACTATGATTATATTGTCAAGTTTGATAATGACAATTGTACAAATAAACCACGTTATATAAAGAACAAAACATCTCTGTTAATCATCAAATACCGTAGGAGAAGACTTTGTAATGTGTGTACTAGTAGTATGTCAAGCCCACATGGCTCGCTTGAGCCTTGGAAAAAATTAATTAATCTATTTTTCACAGAGTTATTACACATCTTTCGAGCTTGACAATTATTTGCTTATATTCTTTGTTTATTTTTAGTCACGTATGTATACAAGCTGCTTACTTCGCCTTTAACATGTCTAGGCTATTTTTATCTCACTACAAATACTTAACCACGCATTATCGCATTGAACTGGCTCGGTTGCCTTTCCCAATTCACTCCACTTTGCTTTTATACTCCGTATTCTCATACCAATCTGCGTGAACAATGACATCAAACAAAACTAATCCAACTGAATTCGTATTTGGCTTCTTGTTAACACTGTTGCACAAACGGGGTTCGCTTACGTAGGATATACGGAAGTTGAAGGGAAGATTTATTTCATAGCTCGAAAATGTAGTCAAGTCATGGGTCTTTAAAGATTAGTTACATCAACGGCATTAAAAGATGCTTAAACTTATTCGCTCATGAACATGCACTGTACTGATATAGTAGTCTAACGAAATAGTGTAACGAAATCCATTTGCTTTAAGCTAATAATCAGGTGATTGATTAATTTACTGTTGAATTTCGAAATACTAATCAACGTTAATTGATCGAATAATCCAACTAAGATTAAAGACCAATAACCATATACTTTAGTCACAGTATTTGAACACAACTTGAATTAAGTGAAGATTTTTGAGGAGTTTGTTGAAATCAAATCGATTGTACCAAACATTTTGTTTTTTAAATAGCCCAATTCAAAATGTTACATAAGATTAAAGTAAATAAATAAATGACTATTTTTTTTAACTGTTATTAATCGTAAAAATCAGTATAAGAGACCTAATTTGTTTTTGATTCTTTTGTAATGCAGATTTTGATTTATTTTTTTTATGTGTATTTTATGTGTGAATATCTAAAAATCAAACTAAATCTTCATTTTGCGTGGACTGATACTATTTATTTAAACCTTTTTTTAGTAGATTGTACAAATAATAGTGATTTTTGTCAGCTGGTTGATAAATCTGTTTGTCTCAGTGTTCTATTTATTTGTTGATGATGAGTTTTTGAAAAAAAATATATTCGATGGTCTATTGAAATTTTGATCACCTATGTACATCTGAGATTACCTAAGGCTATTCGAATGTTTAATACATATAATGTATTCACTATGTTTGGATATATTTCGGTCTATTTAGAGAATAAGTGTTACCTACATAAAATTGCAGCCCCTTAACTAAAGATTTTTTAAATAGGTAAGTTAGTAGTATGACTTTAATCATTAAGTTATGTAATTGCATTGAATAACACAAATTAGTACTCGGTTTACTGTCTCCAGTTAAAGGAGGCGATCTTGGCTGTAAAATCAGTGCTTTCTAGATTACAAGTCAGGCTAGATTTTTAAATTCAGTAACCTATACAAAGAAACATCGGACGTCCACTTTGTCCGTACTTGAACCGGATTACTGGGTCGAATCCAGGACTTTCCGTTTCGTACATGAACATTTAACCTCTTAGCCACTGCGGTTTGTCTAAGTATGATATACAGAAATTGAAGGGGCGAATTATTTCATAGCATACTTAATCGTTTATAATAACATTCCCAAAAAACATTTCATGAATAAAAATATACATTACTCGAATCAATTTCTCTTCATTCCTTTTCTGATGTATGATTTGATCTTGTAAAATAGTTACACGTTCTTTGTAAAATGTTAATTCACTAGCGGCACGAAGTAATTTCTTCTTCAAAATTACTAAATTATTCAACAACAAAAAATGGATGAATTAAAATAATTTTTAAAAAAGTCTTTGTGACTTTTGTAAACAGCTTTGGAAATAGCTTTGATTTTCTCTTCTCATTCATGAAGTTTGTACAACAGAGAATATTAATACTCACCTACCCCCGAATTCTTGTTACTCGATAGAGTATAGACTGAAGCCAGGGTTTTTTAACCAACTTTGTCCTCGGCTCTTCTAAAGAGAATACTGATGTTAACTAAAAACGTTTAAGTCAACCGGAAGGTATGTTAATGGTTCACCTACAAATTTTAGTTTTAACAACAACTATCAGTCAGTTATAATAAGTGTAGGGACTAGGAGAAATATGTGTTGGCTCAAGTTCGCATTCAAAAACAGCACAGCAAAATTAGAATAACAAGATGAAAAGCCCAATAATTGGAGTAAGCGCGGCACTAATGATGACAAGAAAGACCAAACAATGACAATATGGTTCAAGAAAACGGAATGCAATAACTGAAATGAAGACTTGAAAGAAAGTAAAGGAAGAACTCATTTGTGTTACTATGATTGATTCTGACTTACATCTGCTAACTTCTCAAATTACTGGTCACTATAATCTCCGACTAAAGTGATCCGTAATCATCAACACTCCTCAAAATGAAAGTTGAAGATTTTTCATGAACTGGTTCCACCACTTGGTTCGGTCACTCCTAACTTTTCATCTAGCCTACTCTTGATTCAACCAATGTCGCACATCTAGGTAGGCAACAAGGCAGACGTGACACATCATAGACATCACAGTCACGTACACAGAATAATTAACCTGTTTAGTAGGTTTTGATATGACGGGCTAAAATCGTAAGATTCTTTATTGGTTTTTAGAAAAGAATTTGATCCAGTTGATTTTTTGTATTAGTTCAGTTTGAATTCAGATAATAGAGACTGATCAATCACCGATCTAAACATTAACAGGTGAGACAATGCAAAATGTTACAAATCTCATTGTTCTCCCTGCTCTTCTGTACATAAATATACATACATGTATACTACCCCCAAAATAGTAATTATTTAACAAATAATCTTAGGTCATAGTGTGATCAACATGAGTTCATTTTAGGTGAAGTATAACTACTTTGCACTTATTACTATTACTAATAATAACAATATTGATGTTTGCTTTCGTAAACTATCACTTTACCACTATTTTTTCCTGTCTTTAGTTTTAACCTGCTGTGACAATCTACTAAATTAGGTCAAAGCAAACAAAAAATGTATCCAATTAACAAATAAGTTTATTTAAAATCGAATTAATCTATCAAAAGAATAATTGATGCTTAGCATTGACCTCGATGTGTTTTCTCCACACGAAACTAATATTGTTTAATTCACAGTTGATTTGGTTTGTCCTCAGCATGATACGTTTCGTATTGTGTACATTCAAAGAAAAAAAACTGAATTTTCGAGTGGATGAAGTGGGTGAATAGCATTCTTATTCTTTAAGGTTAAGCGTTCAAATGATAACGATGCCAAAACGAAGTGATTTGAAGTATATCTCGTATTCATTGTACATGTCATAAGTGATCAAGTCTATGACACTAGGCTACTGACAAAACAGTAAAAGCAAGATTGATATCAAACTTATAATGAGGATTCTAATTAGTAACTTCAGCATGCAATACTTATTAGCGTTCTCCTCCGCTACACCACAACATGTACCAACCAAATAACATTTGACCGCAGAGCATTGGAAGATGTGAAAACCGTTATATACCTGGAAAGCATCACTAGTGAGCAAGGTGGATCTGATGCCGTTGTAAACACGTTTATTAGCAAAACAAGGGTAGTGTTTCGATAAATGAACAACACCTGGAACTCAAAACAACTATCAACCAACACCGAAGTCAAAATTTTCAGTACGAACTCAAAAATCGTTCTGTTGTAAAGAGAGAAAAGTCGGAAAACTACAATAGTCATGATCAAAAAGATACAGGTGCTTAGTAACAGTAATTTATGCAAGAAACTTCAGATCCGCTGGCAGACACCATCAGCAACAACCTACTGTGGGAAAGAACAAACCAGATTTCAACAGAGGAATAAATCAAGAGGAAGCGTTGAAGGTGGATAGGACACACATTACCGGAATCACTGAACTGCGTCACAACACAAGCCCTCACTTGGAATCCCCAAGACCAAACTGCACATTACGCCGGTAATCGGAGACAGACATGGGAAGAATGAATACCAAGTGGAAGAAACTAGAAAAGGTCTGGGACAGAGTATGTCAGACAATGCTCCACCGGGAAAGACAGGCATAAGTAAGTAAATAAGTAACTGATTTGCGTCCCAAGACAACGCCACTCAGTTAAACAAAAATAACCTCATTATCAGATTAGATAAAAAAATCCTATTGTGAAATCTCGACGATGTTACATTTCGTAAACTAGATTACTTGATAAATAAGTGATACATTTTTTTATTCAATTACAACTTAACCAAAACAGGTTATCGATACTTAAAAAGACGGAGTGTATATTTCTTTCTGCTAAGCTGTTCATTCATGAATGTTGACTAATTTTATGTCGGTTTAGCGTTTTTTCTCGCTTCGGTAAATTTAAAAATTTTCTTCATCATCAACTGAAATCTGTTCAAAAGACATTGAAAGATCATGAACAACCGTTGGCTGTTTTGTATTAACATGGTCAATCCTCGGTAGTTACGACTGTTTACGTTTAAAGTAACTTTTACAAGAAAATAAAGAGCTGCCCAGTACTTTATAGTCTTTAAAATGCTGTCTCAGACGAAACCAGTTCGTTGAGAAAAAACTGTGTACTCATTGATAATCGACTTCAAGAAAAATTGTTGAGTTTTTTAACTGAAATTCGTTGGAATAGATTAAGTTCAATCTATATCGGATGTGAGACTGGGGTATCAGACAAATTTTAAAGTCAATGTCTTTCATTAAAAATTTATGAAGATAATTGTTTTACCATTGATATCACGATGTCAGCGAGCATTGGACAGCCGTTTCGTTGTAGTAAGGAACTCTTTAACAGTGCACCTCCATACCGAGCAGGAACTGAACTTGGGACCTCCGGTCAGGAACTTTTAACCTCTAGACCACTGAACCGGCATCCAACGGTGTCTAATTTATTTCATTCGCAGTGTAAACCACGAACGTTTTCCGCCCAATCGCCGGTTAATTTGAAAGTACACAATTGTAAATCCTACATTACTCATCGTTCTCTGATTTACAATCTAATCTATTTGGTCAATTCAAGATATTTGTTATGTGTTTGATATTTTAAATGTGGTCTATTAAATTCTTTAATATATATATATATATATATATATATATACATATATATATATATATGTTTATATATATTTCAAAGAAATATAATATTGATATAATTTACCAAGTAAACTTAATGCTTCTTTACGACTAACTGGTATATCTCGCAGTGCATCTTCCCAACCACATCCCAATGCATTCAATCGTAACCAATCCCAATTGGTTGGTTCAAAATTTCTATCCAATGGACCTAAATAATCTGAGCTAAGATATTGTGGCCAATATTTAGAATGTTTATCAAATGAGGATTGCTTTTCGGTTAAATGATTTTCATTTTCATTTAAATCATGACCATTCTGTGGTTGATTTGGCACCTAAATAGTTTTTTTGAAAAGAAAAAGAAAACGGGATTATTATGGTAAAAAATATTTTCGACAATGTTAACTTATTAAAACCAAACTGTTCGGTTGGTCAGTAAATATGCTCGAAATTATTATGGGTTCACCTTAGTCGATAAACGAGAACAAAACAATGAACCAGCGTCCGGGTAGGCTACCTTGATCAGTTGACTCGAAACAACTAAACAGAAGTCTTGGTATAGCGTAGAAAGTATATTCTACAAACACCTAGCAAGCACAATGCAATCAAGCACACAAATCTCGTTTATTTATACATCATAGAAACGTCCTTGGGACAGTCACAGAAGTAGCAAACTAAAATTCACAGCAGCCAATCACAGCCGAGGATATATACCTGGTGGGGAATGAAATCTCAAGGTCAACTGATCAGCCCGTGCTCGCAAACATGAAATCCAAATTAAGGCATTAATCAAGCGAGTTCTGGGTATCTAACGTCCCCAACATAAATAAACAACGAAAGATAGTTTCAATGAAGCACATTTCTGAAATCAACCAGATCCATAATGTGATAATTTACTTTCAAATGACATTGAAAATGTAATTCTATTAAGAGGTGATGTAATTATTTAATCAGAAATCAACGGGTTCAATCAAAGCTCCGCGTCATATGAACACAATTCGAAACTATTTCAAACCATGTGAAAAACAAGAAATCAATATTACTTAATTCTTAACAATACTTTTCAAATGATAACAATTCTTAGTGAAAAAAAGTAAAATATTTCCAACTATAGAAGTTCTTTGTTTGCAAAATGAATTCACGGTAAAAATTATCTCTCTTGAATAGAAACAGATATGCTGATATTGATGATGAATGATGAAATCTATTCGATGGAAAATCATCAAGCTGAAGATACTCTACTTATTAACATCTGATAAACTAAGAAGAATAACAAGTGTTAAGTGAATGGAAGTAGTGCAAAGAAAACCTAAAATCGCATCTGACCACATATCAGACTTAATGTTGACCTACGGACTCGAACCCAGTACCGTTTGCTTGAAATGACATCATGTTAATCACTTAGCTAATGAGTGAGGATAACTGTTAGCTTCCTTAACGGGCATAAATTTTAATTGCAGTCGTGTATACTTTCTTGCTCTGGATGAGAAACACTCAATCGGTATTGACAAATGCGTTTGCTGAATTTATCGAAACTCTGTGACAGAATGACCATAACAAGGCAATCTGCTCAGAATAAATGGATGTAAAAAGTGTAGAGTGAATAAGTTTCGCACAAATAACTTACAAAACTTACATTATTTGTATGATTTTTTTGATCATTAGAACGAGAAGAAATTTTCTTTATATTTACTGAATCATCTTTGGCTTGTTTTTTATTTTGTTTCACTGCGGGTTTCATAGGATCAGGTTGCATATAATTTGGGACGTCATTCAATAGGCTGTCTAATGTACTCTCATCTTCTCCTTCTTGATCCATCGCTTCTGAGTTTAACTAGGTCGATAAAATAGGAAATTAGAGAATCGAATGGTTTTACAAATTCTATTCTGTATTAGAGTTGCACTTACTTACTTACTTACTTACTTACTTACATACTTACTTACTTACTTACTTACTTACTTACTTACTTACTTACTTACTTACTTACTTACTTACTTACTTACTTACTTACTTACTTACTTACTTACTTACTTACTTACTTACTTACTTACTTACTTACTTACTTATGCCTGTTACCCAAAATGGAGCTAAGGCCGCCCACCAGTTTTCCTAAACCAACTCTGTCCTAGGCTTCCCTTTCCAGTTTCGTCCAATGTTTGTTCATTACTCTCATATCTTTCTCTATTTCTCGGCGTAATTTGTCCCTTGGCCTTCCTCTTTTCCTTTTGCCTTGAGGGTTCCATGTGAGGGCTTGTCTCGTGATGCAGTTAGGTGCTTTTCGTAGTGTGTGTCCTATCCACTTCCACCGCTTCTTCCTCATTTCCTCCTCCACTGGAATCTGGTTTGTTCTCTCCCACAGTAAGTTGTTGCTGATAGTGTCTGACCAACGAATCCGAAGTATTTTGCGTAGACAACTGTTAATATACACTTGTATCTTCTGGATGATGGCTTTGGTAGTTCTCCATGTTTCCGCTCCATACAGAAGAACTGTCTTCACATTTGTATTGAAAATCCTAATTTCGGTATTGTTTGATATTTGTTTGGAGTTTCAGATATTTTTCAATTGTAGAAATGCAGTCCTTGCTTTGCCAATCCGCGCCCTCACATCTGCATCGGATCCACCTTGATTGTCGATGATGCTGCCAAGATATGTAAAGATGTCAACGTCCTCCAAAGAATCTCCATCAAGAGTAATTTGGTTGACACATGTTGTGTTGTATCGTAGAATCTTATTTTTCCCTTTATGTATGTTGAGACCTACTGCTGCAGAGGCTGCTGCTACACTGGTCGTCTTCTATTGCATTTGTTGTTGCGTGTGAGATAGAAGATTAGAGTTACACTACTCCATAAATTTAAAGTAGTATGAATTTATCATAGCATATTTGTAGGATGACAAGCGTGTTGATTGGCCATATGGAGAATATTTCGTTGATTGACTTGGACATCATCATCAACATAAATCCTAAATAGAATTTAACCCTCACAATCGCCAACCCTTCAAAATCGAATCAATAAAATCTTCATACCTTGATGAAAACTGTCATATTTAGACCGTTGTGTTAACAAATTATGGCTAACTTTCGTCTATGTACGAAACTGAACAGATTTCATCAATTTTAAACCATGATATTAATTGGTATCCAAACAGATCAGGCTCAAAGAGCATCTTTCACTCATAATAATGACTCATCCAACTACTATACTTTCTTTAAAATTGTTCTTTGAAACTTAGAATAAAGTTAACTGTACATCTTATCCAATGACAGTAAATAGTCAACGCATTCTAACATAAATCAATAATCAAGTGAAATAATGTTCTAAATTCCAATCTCACAATCAACCTATAGTTCTTTGTCTATGACATATTCAATGTCGTTTAAATTAATCAAAAGTTGTAAATTATTAAAATTGTACAGATGTTGCTTAGTAACAAACAAAGATCGTCTAACCTTTCAGATATGAATGCATTATACTTAAATAATTCACTGAATAGAATTTTTTTTCGAAAAAAAAGATAATTACTTGAGTGGTTTATCATATCATTTTTAATTAATATTAAGTTACTTAATCAAACTAAAACTGACTTTAAAGTAATAACAATCCCATGATAATTAGATTTTCAACTTAGGGGAGATGACGTGAAAATATGCAAACATTTTAACATTAAAAGTATAATATTACTAGTCAGTAAAATGTTGTATCGATTTTACGAGGATAAACCTGTGCCGAAGTTAATTAAAAATAATAGAAGGGGACACAGATAGAAGTAAGTATATTGTAGTAATTTGCATAGTTTAAAATCAGGTTACAACCATTTGTTAATATGAATTGAAGAATCATTGTTGTATACGGGGATTGTGTCGCTTTGGTTTGAATCAACTAAAGAGCATCTGTTCATTAGTGATTGCTAGCTACACCTTACAGATGATTATGTCAATTAATTCAAAAGTTAGATTAATTATAGTCTGCGGCAGATTACTTTCAACTATCCAACATCAAAGTAGAATGTGCTGAACAACCGTTTATTTTGTAAATTCAAATACCATATTAATCCACACCGAATACTCTTCACCCAGTGTTAACTATACCTTTCTTAGATAACTAATTTGGAACTCACTGGTCAACATTTCCAACTATTGTCGATTTATTAAGTAGTGTATTTCTCAAACCTATGAAATATCAAACGTGTTCATTACCCTCTGATATTCAGTAGTTCTGTAAATTTTAATTGACTGTGATTTGATATGATATAAGATGTCGAATGTATGCGACTGTGCGCTGGTGTGAATGGATTGTCGATGTTGGATGATTCGTAGCAGTACTGAACTGGGTCAGTGAAACAAACGGAATCGATAGATTTGAACAGGTGTAGGGACGGAAGAATGGTGTTGGTATGGGTTGAGACAAGTAGGTGTTTGAGTGCACGCTTTCTGCATGCAGTTGATTGTATGCCTCAGTGGTCATTTCGTCTGTGGTGTTGAGTCTGCAGAACGAGTGCCACACCGACTGTGATGTGTGCATAGATGGACTGTGAGTAGCGGGAAGTGGTCAACTGTGAGTCCGACTGTCCACCTGACAGTGTATCCGTTGTATGCATGGTTATTTTGTTCGAATGACGTGTGCAGCGTGCATTGAGATTGTAATCGGTGGTGTTTGGTGACAGTGTGTGAAGTGTTATGGGGTATGAGTGAGTGAGAGTAGGATGGTCAGCATAGCTTTTATCCTCAAATATCTAGAGTTAGACAGCTCTTCCAGAAGTAGCTATTAGTTGTTTATTTTACCTTGATATATACAGGAAATATTTCTTTTAAATGACGTACTATTATTTGTATTCACTGGCTTTCTTTGTTTAAGCTATCACCAGTTTACACAAATATTTGTCAGTGTTGTACAATTCAATCAAATATCTGTAAATGAATTTGTTTCAATAAAAAACATTCACTCACTGATTTACGTACTGTTGCATTGAAATTTATCAGTTTGCATTGTAAATAAACTGATAATGTTTACACTGGTTACTATTAACAACGAAATATATGAAATGTATCACATTGTGACTTATTTCTTAATCGAATCATTACTTTATTTTATTTGATTTATTGGCAATTCAATTATATTTCAAAAAAGGTAACTACACTTTCATATTCTATTCAGTCTATACATATTGGTCTGTGGCGATTATAACAGTATTGTATACTATAAGCGGAATAATTTAAGTGGGCAACAATCCTGTTCTAATCTCTGTGTTCACACACAGTTCCCTTTATTAACTTGAAGAGAGCAAACGCAAACATTTGAGCAGGGATTCATTCTTATTTCGTTTGGTTTTTTTGTCAGATGCTTTGAACTACTTACTCTGAAGAGTTTAGTTGTAAGTTACTATGATCACTATACATTATGATATGCTTGAATGCTAGTACGAGGTCACCTTATTCGGTAAACGGAACGAAGATCAATGATGCAGTGACACGATGGGCTATTCTACTTCTAATGTCCCAGGCCCGGCTAACTAAAGGAAGAGGTTTTGATAAGGCGCAGAGAATGTAATCTACAAGCACCTAGAAAATACGTGGTTGCTAAGCACTTAACTCAGGCTTATTTATAAAATGATAGAAACACTACTGGCGAGAGTCAAAAAATAGTGTACTAAATCAATCCGTCAACAAATCACAGTCAAGGATTACCGAGTGGGAAATGTAAGCTGAAGGTCAACTAAGCGCGCAGACGTTCAAAATTCAAAATTTCAGAAACAAATTACAAATTCAGGACCTTTAGCAAGTGAATTCTAGGGATCTAACGTCCACAACACTCCAGTATATAGTAAAACAAGAGAGTAAATGATTTTAATAGACTGAATAAAAGATTGTAAATATACACATATATTCAGAAGAACATTCTACAATGTTGATAATCATAAAAGTACTTTTTTCAACTTATTATGTTGCTATGATTTTATGTCAACTATCCTGTGGATTTGTAATCTTATTTTAACTAACTAACCTTCACTCATATTCTTGTTACCTATTACCAGAGTATATTCATTACGTAACCACTTGTTTCCAGCCCTCTTGATTTTGATATGATCAACGTTGTGTACTGATATTCTGTGTAAAGCATATATTTATAATATTTTATTCAATCTGTTAAAATCTTTCATACTCCTGCTATACCACACTGTTCTATAATGATAACAACTTCTAACTACACACTTTCATGTAAGTAACTTAAATTCACTTTGTCATTATGATTTTATATACTACTGATCATAAGCGATTGGCTTGTACCAAACGAATTAAGAATAAATTCATATTATTCTGCTCTTGTCAAGTTCAGGTGTTCCACTGACTTATGTGTTTGTATAGGAATTCGAATAAAAATAACATGCATATCAGCGGTATTGTTCAGAATGATTAATGACCAAAAAAATTTCACAATTAATTTAACCTGTCTACAAAAGTCAACAATTAAGCTATAAATCTTTTCATTGAAATCATGAATCGACCATTGTTAGACCATCATTAGAAACCTAAAATCAATGGACAGCCATTTCCCCCTAATACGGGACTGATTATCCACGAAACCCACAAGCAGAGGTTGAGCCCAGAACCTTCGATCTCACGCGTGAACGCTCAACCCATAGACCGCTGAGCCAGCCTCCAAAGATTGCAATGTCTAACTTTAAGCAATCCAAAGTATGACGAAACCTCACCCATTGTCCTCGGAAGGTAACTTGCTATACTCGGCAGGGTTGAACTCCACTAGTTACTGCCTCTCACTAGAACTCCAGAGAATTTCATCATGAATCAAGAAACCAGTGAATACATGATTTCACT